AGATGAAAGGAGAAGTAAAAAAGTTCACCGAGAAAAGAAAAAGTATTTTTAAAAAAGGAAATTAGGTTATATATTAATATTTTAAAGGCAAAAAAGGGAAATTAGGTTCACTCATAATGTTGGGTATGATCTTGAAGAAAATAAAATTTCTTTTGAGGGAATTGATTGTGGTGTTATTAATTAATTATTTTGTTACGTCAATGATAAAACTGTCGAGTTATCATGTCCTCACCGGTCCTCTAGGTGAGGTTAGAAAAACGTGCTCGGAAGTCAGAGACTAGTAGACTAATATAAGTTCAACACATAATCATATTTAATTTAGGCAAAAATAACATTCCTCTTTGAACCTCAAATGCTAAACTAAAAAAAGGTAAAGATGATTTTTAACCTAAAACTCTTTAAAAAAAAATATTTTTTACATCTTCTTAAAGTGTTGTCTTTTAATATTTCTTTTTTTTTTCATGCTTATCACAGTCTTTTTCATTACATATATATAGGCAATACGTATGTAAATTTCACATAGATGAAAAAATGACGAATCACTTTTCTCTTCTCGTCTATCTCATCACCATCGGTTTATCTATCTTTCCAGTGTCATCAAATAGTGCTTTCAATCTCATTCATCCCAACTCTTCAAAGCCACCACATGTCTCCAACATCGAGGAAGCAGTGTTGCACGTCTAGAGTACTTGCAAGCCAAAGCAAGTGGAGATATCATCGCACACATATCTACTAACATCGAAACGACTTTTTCGGTGATCATATTTATAGGTAGCCCACTGGTCATACATCTTCTCGACATGGATAGAGAAATAGCCTCCTATAGCTACAATGTCGTTTTTGCATCAACTGCCATCTTCAGAGCCTTCCTACATTCTATCCTTTGAGGTTTTCTTCTTACCATGCCGAATTTTGTAAAATAAATACTCCATAGAGAGCTTTACATGCAATGCCAAAACCGGATCTCTCGAGTACTCCGAGACATATGGATGGTAAAAGGAGCAAAGGTACATTAGCTCAAGAAACAATAACATTTAATTACGATGAATCTTCTTCAGCGTCTTTACACGACGTGGTTTTGGTTGTGGTCATGATAACGACGATAATCCACTACAAAAAAATGGTGTTATCGGTTTAGGATGTGGTGAGTTCACCGTTTTGGGTCAAAATTCTCATATTGATTAGACAGTTTATACGATTCATCTTACCATTATAATGTCTTAGTCATTGGAGATACCGGTGCTAACATTTTGGGCGATACAACGTTATTAGAGATCGAAAATGGCTTATACCACGTTAGTATGGAAGGGATAAGTTTTGGTGGAATAAAACTTGAAATCCATTCGTGGGTCTTTCAGCGTGATTACCATACTGGTTTAAGCGGCACAATTATCGATACGGGGATCTCATTATCAATGTTGGTTAGAGAAGCATATGTGCCATTGAAAGAGAAAATTGAAAATTATTTTCAAGGAAGGTTTGAGATCATGCATGTGTATCGTGAAAAATATAAAACCGAGTGCTACAAAAGAGATTTTGAACGAGATTTGACTGGGTCTGAATTTTCGATTGTAATGTTTCATTTGATTGATGGTGTAAAGTTGTCTTTAGATGTGAATAGTCTTTTTAGGAAGATTACACCAAATATTTCTGCTTAACCGTGACTCAGATCATTAACAATAGTTTAAACATTATAGACGTAGTGGGTCAGCAAAATTATAATGTAGGTTATGATCTTGAATCTAAGAAATATATTTCAAAAGTCTCGATTCTGGTGTGATTTTTGAAAAAGTGATGAAAATTTAATATTATGTATTTTTACTCTGATTATTTTAATAAATTTATCATCAATGTTCTTTTACAGCTCTAAATTGGTGTAATTAATCCTCTATATATTAATTGAGGACACACTAAATGAAAAAATCATATACGTCACTCAACGAATATTTTAATTTTTAAGGGACACATCAATTAAATTAACCAATCAAAACAGTCCAATTAATTCTATATGCCATGTCGGAAGTCTCTATATATATACATTAATTTTTTAACATTAACTCACAAATACATATGTTACTAATTTAAATCCAATTAAAATATAATATTTTAATATTTAAACGTTATATACTATAATGTTTTAACGATGAATTATTCACCAATGTTAATTACTTTATAAAGTTGAATTTATGTCCATTTGGATACCACAATCAATTCTCTTGAAATACTCTTTCTTTTCTTTGAGATTTTATCGTATCTATAATTTTGTTGAGCCGTTACACTAGTGATATTCAAATTACCAGTATCATCCAAGAACATACTTTTAATTTAAGAAATGAATCGTCACAATCGAGAATTGGAATTCCAACAAATCTTGTTCAAAAAATTTATACACATTCTATAGAAAATTTTTGCAAATACGTAAATAATTTGCGATACATATATTTCTTTTGCAAAAACCTTTTTTGATATTTTTAGACATAATATTACGTTCATAAATCTTGTATGTTTAGTCTAGATTTAAATATATTTTCAAAAAAAAAATCAATGAAAAGAGGATCATGAGCATGAATTTTACTCCTTTTTAATATATTTTCAAAGAACAATAATCAATCAACTATGATCATGGACATCACACAAGTTTCAATAAGCTAAACAAACAATTATTCCATCTGGTTTTCTTTAAATTCACCATTCCATACTAAACTAGAATGTAATGATACGAAAACGTAGACTAAACAAATGTAATAACAGTTCAAATAGTGTTAGTGATGAAAGTATGAAATCTCAAAGTAATAAACACAATTTTTTTTTCTTTGCGTTTCTAATATCTATCATTCTATTATGATTCTCAACTATTTTTGTTTTTATGAATAATTAATGAAAAAAAGGTTTTTCTCTTTTTCAATATTGTTCTAAGCTTATTGCTTCTTATTTCTTTGAACAATCGACAAGTCTAAGCAATGTAAATTTTACCTTTGGTAACATTATTATTTCGTATATCTCAATTTATAGTTGATTTGTAAGTAATTTCATGAGATTTCAACTAAAAAACTCTTATGCCACTACATTTTGATATGAGATGACACATAAAAAGTGAAATTTAAACAATTGCATATTTTTTTCACACAGTCAAAAATGTTTTTGTTGAAATTTGCTGGCAGTATTAAAAATAATTTGATAAGCCATTGCATGATCTAGTGAAGAATTAAACAACAAGTAATCAAAGACGATACCACAATCAATTCTCTCGAAATAATTTTTTTTTACTTCGAGATTTTATTATATCTATAATTTGGTTGAATCGTCACACATGTGATATTCAAATTACCAATAGCATCCAAGAAATACTTTTCATCTAAAAATGAAACATTACAATCGAGAACTTGAATTCGAATAAATCTTGTTCAAAAATTTCTATACATTCCATAGGAAAATCTTCGCAAATCCATAAGTTATTTCCGATAAATATATTTCTCTTGCAAATAAACGTTTTTGGTATGTTTAGACACAAGATTACATTCACAAATCTCGTGTGTTTAAATATATATATTTTTAAAACAAATCAACAAAAAGAGGATCATGAGAATGGAATTACTCCTTTGTAATATATTTTCAAAGAACAATAATCACACAAGGATTTCAATAAGCTAAACAAAAAAAAAATTCCATCTGATTTTCCTTAAATTCACCACTTCATGCTAAACTAAGAGAATGCAAAGATACAAAAATTATATCCATCGGTTAGTCTTTAAACCTCACCACCTCATGCTAAACTAAGAAAATGTAAATATACTTTTGCACCTAAAACTCTTAAAACAAAATGTAAATATATTTTTGCATCTTTAGCCTTTTATCTAACATGGTTTTGGGTTGTGGTCATTATAAAACTATGGTAAACTATTACAAGGAACTAGTGTCTTTGGTTGTGAAATAAAAAATTCTCGCTGGTTCAGTGGTTCAGCTCAAAGTTTTCATACTGTTTCGGTAGTTTAGATGATCCTTCTTACCTCAATAACGTGTTAGTCATTAGAGATGACAGTGTCAATATTATAGGAGATACAACGTCATTAATGACTAAATACGATTTATATTACATTATAATCGAAGCAATTAGCGTGGATGAGACATTACTCACAATCAATTTGTTGGTATTCAACTGTAATTACCAAACCTATTTAAGATAAGCATAAGAATATGTCGATACCAAAAAATATTACAAATTTTCTAATGTAATCCAGTTCACCTATAAATACAATCTATCATCACTTCGTCGAATTGTAAGAATATAATATGTCATTTGATATCTATCAAAATCTACTGAAAATAAACTTATACGAATTCACTTATCCCACGAATAGTCTAAAAATAAAATATTCCAAATATGTTTGTGTCAAGGTAAACTCCATCTATGAATCTTGAATTCTTGATCACATTGAGATTTGAAAAGAATTCTTTTTTTTTTTTTTGGGTCAAAGAGATTAAATTTCATTAAACCGGGATTTATCCGGGTTGAACCGGTACAATATGCAAAGCTGATTTTGCCAAACCATTATGTGAAGCTCGGGTCGGATTCGGACCCCAAAACAGTTGGTCCGGGTCGGATAAAACCCAATAGAGTCAAGTAAAATAGTGATCATCAGTCATCGGATAAACACA